CCCGCACTCCCTGAACAGCAAAACAGCAGCTCGGCTCAGACCTGCCCACGTCTCCGAAGGCCAGGGGCAGGGGGCTCTCCGGTCCGCAGAACACAGGCTCATTGTCTGTGCCACAAGGGGCCTCAGTTCTTCTCCGTTCAACCACCTCTGAAATAGATCCAGGCAAGGGCTTCATCTGAACCTTCGCAGGTCAAACTCGAAGCTGGTGGTGGGAAGCGATCCTGCGGTCGCAGACATCCTCTGAATCGTCCCCTCCAGGGGATTCACTCGGCCAGACCAGGAGGGCTCGAATTCTTGGTGGCACCAGGTGGGGCGAGAACAAAAAACAGGACCCCCTGCAGCCCTTCCTCTAGGGTATCCCTCTCCCAGCGGCCCATCCTCTGCCAGTCGGAGGGGACGGCTTTCTAATCTGAATCGTGGGAAAGCAGAGACAGTACGGAACGAGCCATTTGAACCATCTGATCGAGGCCGGCTCAGTGGCACTCAGCATGGCCACAGTGTTGAGCAACAGTGCCACCAAAACCGGAACTCTGTACCCCCTCAACACTGACTTCCCCTTCTCCCCTCCTGCCGCCCCGGCAACTCCCCTCTCCTGTCCATCTCCGGGAACCGGACTACTCTCGGGACCGCCTCTAAGTGGGGCCACACAGGATCTGTCCTTCTCTGACGGGCTTATTTCACTTGCCATGAAATCCTCGGAGCTCACCCGTGCTGTAGCATGTGTGTCACAATTTCCTTCCTTTTTGAGGCGGAGAAAGATCCCGCTGCATGCACAGAGCATGTTCTCTCTATTCATCTGTCGGTAGACACCTGAGCCGTTTCTGTCTCTTGGCTGTCGTGAATAATGCTGTTGAGAACACAGGTAAGCAGACATCTCTCTGAGATCCTGCTTCTTCATTCTTCTGGGTCTATGCCCATAGTGGAATTGATGGATCATATGGTAATTCTATTTTTTGACATTCTGAGGAAACTCCATACTGTTTTCCAGAGTGGCTGCACCATTTTACATTCTCACCAACAGTGCCCAGGGATTCCAATTTCTCCACATCCTCGTCAACGTCTGTTATTTTGGTGGGCGTCGTGTGTTTGCTTGTGTGTTTAATAATAGCCATCCCGATGGGAGCAAAATGGTATCTTCTTGCTGTTTTGATCTACATTTTCTTTTTTTTAATTAATTTATTTATTTATTTGAGAGAGAGAGAGACAGAGAGAGGAAGAGAGAGAGAGCACAAGCGGGGAGGAGGGGCAGACAGAGAGGGGAAAAGCAGACCCCCGGCTGGATCCCAAGACCCGGGGACCATGAACTGAGCCAAGGGCAGATGTTCAACCGACTAAGCCACCCAGGCACCCCTTGATTTACATTTTCTTAAGACAAAATGACATTCTGCACTTGAAACAGGGCTCACTAATAAACCAAAGAATGACTATGATTTAAAAAAAAAAAAAGGCAGAGGGCACCTGGCTGGCTCAGTTAGTGGAGCACACAGCTCTTGATCTCGGGGTCATGAGTTCAAACCCCATGTTGGGCATGAAACCTACATACGAACATACATACATACATCGATAAATACATTTTTTTAAGTAGAAAGTGCTAGTGCCCTCACAACATTCCGTCATCTAGAAGCATTGTTTCCCCGATGAACCCTATGAAGCCCAGCTCCCTGCTCACCCCGTATAGAGACACCAACTGCATCCCCATTTGTCCTCTCAAGAGAGTATTTAACAGTCCCTTGGGAAAATCTCAGCCATGAACCGAGGGAGAGAGCTTTAAAAACCCTGGTAGAGTGTGCAGGTATTGGCTATGAAGTATGTCAGTGTGCAAATAATTCTGAATGGGGCAAAGTGCTCAATATAGCCTTGTTTGTTCTGGCTCCCAGCATGGGTCAGAGAAACGACAGGTTGCCGTCCGTGTATCTGAACCTGCCTGTCGAGCCCAGGTCTGCCCGCAAAGCTGCAATCCCATCCCTCTGTTCATTGTTCCTTCGTCAAACAAAACAAACACAAAAACTCTCTGTGCAAAATGATTATCTACGCTTTACTTCAAAATAACGGGCGGAATGGTGTGTGGGGAGGGAATATAAATTAAACCGGATCAGCTAGGAGTTGATTGATGTTGAAGCAAGGTGATGGGAACATGGTGGGGCGGGGGGGCTGTTAGATCGTTTGATTTTGGTTATTTCTTCCATTTCAAAGAGAAAACTTCTCAGACGAAGTAAGGCTTGGCATATGACTGCATGTTTCCAGCGACCCTGGGAAGCAGGAAGCAGGCCTGTGACATCAGCATTTCACAAAAACACGAAGCCTCCTCAGGACCACTCAGTGTGCGTGCAAGTCCAGCCCAGCACCTGGGTGCGGGCCTCCCACTGCACCTACCCTGTGTCTCCCGGAGGGCCCTGCACCCCGCTTCTCAAGCCTCACCGCATACTTGAGCTCCGGTGCAGAAGAAGAGAGCAATCAGTGCCAAGGACCCAGAAGGGAGGCATCTGGGTCATTCTCCCCCCAAGCTCTTTTGTGCCTCATTTCCCTGACTGCTCCTTTTTGTCCCTTCCTGCTCGGCCCCCGGGCACACCAACTGAGAAACAGACTCTTGACCACACACTTGTCAATCCTGCAGAATGCAGTAACACGGCAGCACCCTTCGCTCAAGCAAACTTGCTACGATTCCGGACCCAGGAGCTCCAGTATTCGAATCTGGTGCTGCAGAGTTGTTACTACTGGGCAAGTTGGGAAGCTTCCCAAGAGCAAAGAATCTGTTCTGAAAAGAATGTGAAGAAATGGAGATTAGCGGGCCCTCAGCCACAGCAGTGAGAAGTTTTGCTCTTGCTGCAAAATTCAGGATGACCTTCAGAGGACAGGCACAAGACCAAGTAAGCAGTGCCTGGGGGTGGGAGAGAACAATATGCACCTGGGTGTCCAACTGTCCAAAGTGTCAGACTGCCTGCCAAGGCCAGGGGGCCCTCTGCCATACACTGGGCTGGTGGGCAAGGCCTCCAGGTGGGGCCAGGGAGGGAGCAGGGCAGGTCCAGGAAGCCATACACCGCACAAATGAGGCAGCCACAGGCCTCTCATTAGGAAAATCCCACAGGAACCACATCGACTGTCCTATATTGCCTTATTTCAAGGGAAATGATGAAGTTGCTGGTGACAGGTTGTCCAGGCAAAGAAAAAGATGTGGGGTGAGTGGCCAAGCCACTGAAACCCACCCTGTTTCTCCAGAACAGAAACCCTCTAAAACTTTGAGGTAAATCATCAGGAGTTGATGATGCCATAGGAAATCAAGGGTAAAAGCTGAGAATTCTTAGTGATCTGCCCTGTTTGCAAGAGTTCCGGTCCAAACAGGGCATGCCAACATCCTCAGTAGAAGCAAAATGTGGCATGACGGCCGATCATTCTGTCCCTCCTTCTCTATGAGCCCCCCCCCCACACCTTGAAGCTGACCAGCGATGCTTGCTGCAGGTGCACGATCACGTCCCCTCACCCACCCGCACAGACTCAGTGTCTGCTTCTCCCTGAACCGAGCCCACTGGTGACACACACATGCTGTGCTACCTCCCCTGATGCCCTGACCATCTCCAACCAGTGCCCAAGTTCTCTGATCTTCTTTAAGGCAAGAGTCCTTGAAAGAACCGTCCTGAGTCACAGTCTCCACTGCCTCACATCCCGCTGGCCCCCCAGCCAACCCCAGGTGGGTTTCCATCCCTCCAACCAGGACACACAGCGGCTCTGACCAGGGTCACCAACAACCTCTACCTCTTCAAAGCCAATGCCAATTTTCTGTCCTCATCCTACATTACTTCCCTGTGCACAGCTAACTGTTCCTCTCTACCTGGAAGGCTTCTGCAATACAGAGTCTCCTGGCCTCCCCTCAGCCCGCTTACTCACAGCCAACTCTGGAGCAGACCTTCCCCTTCAAGGAAGAGGTTGCTTCACCTCTAGCAACCCAGGACTCCATATTCACACCTCTCCTCTTCTCAGTCAACACATTCCCCCTCCATGATCTCATCTAGCCGCCCCCCACCCCCAACCTTCTCTGATGTGGCCAAGACTTTCATCTCTAGGATGGTCACAGACATGGGAGGTGGACATGTTCATGTGGCCAAGAGACCATTCTAACACTTCTGTCCCCAAATTCTCAGAACATGGTACCACCACCCATCCCTTCACTTTGCAGAATCATTCCAAAACTCGTAACCTACCAAGAATTACTAAAAGAAGTAGAAAATAATTGCACCTACTTACTGAGCATTGTAAGGTCCTACATGACCTGTTTCCTTCATGTCTCTGTCCTCACTTGTGTCCCCTCCCCCTGTACTCACTGAGCGCCAGTGACTTGGTCTTCTCTTTGTCCCCTGCACATGCATTTCTGCCTCAGGGCCTTTGCAGATGCTGCTCTTCCAGCCTGCAGCTTTCTTCCCAGACCCCTACTGGCTGTCTCTTCATGGGTACACTGGTCTCAGCCCTTAAGTCACCTCCTTGGAGTGCCCTCCCTTGACCTCCCTAGCCAAGGAGCTTCTCCCTCCCTGCTCTGTTGCTCAGGAGGTTAATGTCATTACTGGTTAAACACAAGCACTGAAAGGAACAGGGCTTTATTGCCCTTGCACACTCTTACCTCCCAGAGCACAGAATAGCGCCTGGCCCATAGTCAAAGGGGCACAAAGCGCCCCACCGCCAAGGTCTCGTTGTGAGCATCCCCAGGGCAGGGAAGGCAGGAAGCTGACCTGCATGTGGGCCAGAGCTCCAAGTGTTCCTGAGCCTCCAAGGCTGGGGTAGGGGTCCATTAGCCTGGTTTCTGATCACCCCGGCTATCCCCGTCACAGTACTTAGCAGCCTGTTGTATAGCATTAACTTGTCACTGGTTCTGCCTAGTCAGGGGCTCTTCGCCCTGCCCGCCTTCTCCCCCAGAGCCTCGCAGTGGGCCTGGCCAATCGGCAGTGCATGAAGAACGCGAACCACTGAATAAAGGACAAGGCAGGGGACCAAGATTGCTCTCGGGGACTCACCCAGAAGACGATGTTGTAGCTGAAGAGCAGGTACTTGTACCAGCAGCTGACCTCGGCGTTAGAGTATCTATAATAGTGCATCTTCCGAGAAGCAGGACCTGTAGGCAGACAGGGGGTGGTGAGACGACACGTGTGGCTGCAAAACACCCCCCAAAACTCCTCCCCTAGGAAGAGCCAAGGTGAGGCTCACACACAGACTCTAGAAGTCTCCAAATTGTTCCCATGTTCCTGCACGAGTCCAGGTGTCACTTTACTATCAGTGCCAGCTACAGACTGGGCAAGAATCATGCTAAGTCAACTTTCTAAAAGCAGCCAAAAGAAGAAGAGAATTTTTTAAAGAATGGAGGATGCCAACTTTTATTTATTTTTTTAAAGATTTTATTTATTTGAGAGAGAGAGAACACAAGCAGAGGAAGCAACAGGCAGAGAGAGGGAGAAGCAGGCTCCCCGCGGAGCAGGGAGTCCCGATGTGGGGCTTGATCCCAGGACCCCAGGATCATGACCTGACCCTCACAGCCTCCTCTTCATGACCTGAGCCGAAGGCAGGTGCTCAACCGACTGAGCCCCCAGGTGCCCCTACTACTTTCCTTCTGGAACCCAACAGCAATCCAGGTGGGCCCTTATCCTCCACCACCCCCTGCTGCCAAAACAGTGGCTCGGTGGTGGGGAAGGGGGTGGGGTCTCAAGCTGATCTCTGGGGGGCAGGCAGGACCTAGGGCTCCCAGGGGAATACTCACCCCAGCCCCTTGTTCTCCTCCCACTTTCTGGGGCTGAGCGGGCAGTGGGGGGTGCGGTGGGGGGAGGCAAAAACAGAAAAGGCTACTCGGGCCTTGAAGACACAACCCACCCACAACAGCCAGGAAGAAACCAGCGGCTGCCACCTTGTCGAGAAAGGGCTGCTGCAAAATCCCTTCCTGGGAGTGGCCTCGGTGGACTGGCCACGGGCTTGTCATGTTCTGAGCCAGTGATGCCAAGCAGGGACACGCAAACCACACCCTTCTGGAATGGGTGCTGTGACCGCTCACCCTCCTGGCCACAGGGTGGCACTGACAGGCGCAGCAGCCTGGACCCACCATTCGCTCACCTCCTCCCTCAGAGGGTGATGGGAGAGTCCGGCCCATCCGGCCTCCAAAACCAGCCAGGAAGGGGACAGTGACCCAGCAGCCCCCGCCCTGCCCTCAGCACAGGACTTCCACAAAAGTCCCCTTCAAGAAGGGAGAACGAATGCAATCCCAGGCACCAAGGGACACCATGGACACAGGACACACAAGAGGCCCCTGGGCAAGTTCCTGCCCTCTCAAGGCCTCAGCATCCTCAACAAACTGACCCCTAGCATCCCTAGTGCTAACGGACCCTGCTGGCAGCATCACATGACTCCTTCCAAATAGATCTGAGGGCTCTACCCTCTGCAGGTCCTGAGAAGTAGATGCAGGTTGAGGCAGAGAATTGGCATGTTTGATAAATTCCCTGGTGATTCTGACAAGCCTAACGTCCCAGGTAGCAGCCCGGGCACCAAGGGCCACCTGCAAAGGTAGAAGGACTGTGCTAGCCACAGCCCAGCACACAGACCAGGGCTAGGGTCGGGATGCCTGGCGGTAGGCAACTAACTAAAGGGAACCAACATTCACTCATTTGTGTTTCACACAAGACAAAACCCCCAAAGCAGTGGGTTTTTCTCTAACTACAGGTGACTGGCTTCATGCTATAGAGAAAAAACATTTTTTAACTTAAAACTCAGGTAAGTTTATGACAGAGAACTGTCAACTTGGCCAGAAATGGCCTAGAAGTCAGGAAAATGTTCTAAATGGTAGAAACCCTGTTCCTTTTTACGGACAAGATAATCCTACTTCTTGGAATCGTCAAACACAGCCTCCTCTTCATGGCTCTTAGAGAAGCTTGGAAGGATGGTCATACCCTTCCCATGGAACTGGACTCCACAGAGGGGAAGGCTGCCCAGGCCCAGTACCCCAAAGTTCAGAAGTCCCAGAGAGTACTCCCTGGGCATCATTTAACCATGGTAAAGCTCTCTCTTAAAAGCTATGAAGCAAAGTCAGACTCCCTTCTTCCTCCACAGAGAAACCGGCTAGTTAGCACAAGTCTATCTGTTTTCCTCAGTACTGGCGACCTCATCCCTGCCCCCTGCTTGGAGCCTTTGGGAAATGATTACCCTGAGGTGATACAGGGACTCTCAACCTGGAGATCCCTGTTCTTCAGCTCTGGCCAATTAACCGTGGAGAACAGAGAAAGGTCACAGGAACCCCATGGGCTTGCAGGCTCTGGAAGGGGGAATTCTCCACAGGGTGCCTGGCCACCCTCACCATAGGTTTCACCCCCTTTCATGTGGCCCAGAAGGCCTCACCCCACAGACACAAAGCCACCCAAGTAAGACTGCTTTCACAGACATCAGGGTCCAAATCCACACCCAGAGAATCTCCATACCCAGGACATACCCTCCCAACCCTCACTTCATGGAAACTCAGACATCTGGAATTACACTAGCCAGGTCCACACCGGGGAAGGACCAGAAGCACCCTAAGCAACCACGAGGCAGTGTACCACACTCATATGTGTCTCCTACACACCTGCCATGCACAACCCAGAGCATTCACACCAGGCATCACACCTTTTCTGTTGAACCAAGATAACCCTCTGTGGCCTTGGGGTGGGGCTGTCCCAGTGACAGCATTTCCCCATCCAACTCATGAATGAGGAAACTGTGGAGGGGAAACAGTTCAGTCTTTGTCCACCCCCTTGTTTATTCCTCCCTATGGGAAGATAAGGCACTCAACTAACCACGAGGTGGGGAGCGCTCACCCATTCCCCACCCCTACCCCACCGTGAACCTGAAGAGCAGGGAGGAAAAGCTGCCTCTCACCCTTGCACTGCTCTCTATCCCACTGGCCGGAGGGTGGAGAGGCAGATCCTGAACCTCAATGTCACGGAAAGATCCTGTCTCCACATGGGTGCATCCCAGGGTATAAATTAAAGGAGGTAACGAGGGAAGGAGGTGATGGAAAGGTTTGGACCCCAGCCTAAACCACACCCTCCAACATGGGGTTCTTGGCTCTCATCTGGAGAACAAAGCCAGCGCTGAGCTCCCGAGGTCTGGCTGGGCGGCTTCACTGCATCAGTGAAGGAAAAAGTACTGATGAGTACACCTTAGCTGCCAACCTGAGAGTCATCCACACAGACACGGAACCCCAAGAAGGGGACAAGTGCATCAGTGCTGAAACTAGAACCCAGATCTGACTCAACACTCAGCCAAAACGACTTCGAAGTGACTGTGGTCCCTGACAGCTCACCAGTCACATAAGAGGAAGGCAGAACTTTGCTCTCCATCAACTAAATAACTCAACAAAAACCAACACTGTTCCAGGGCACCTGCTGGCTCAGTGGTTAGAGCAGGTAACTCTTGATCTCAGCATTGTAAGTTCCAGCCCCATGTTGGGTGTAGAAATTACTTAAAAATAAAATCTTTTAAAAAGCAAACAAAAAAATCCGACCAAGACCATCTATCTTAAAACACACACACACCAAGAATCTTGTTTTAACAAAATATCTTAAAAGATAGCTAAACTTTTCACAAATGCTAATTATCATTGCAACAGAGAAGGATCTCCAAAAGCTATTCTGTAGCTTTCAAATTTTATAGAAACACATAGAAAACAACGATCAGAAAAATTTAATTCCAAGTCCTGAAACTGTCTCAGTTCCCAAACTTATTAAAACAGAAGAAAGCATTTACATGACAAAGTGTTTGTCAAAACATGTACATCTCAAAACAAAGGGGAAGGTTACAATCACGTCATAGTGTTGAGAGAGCTGGCTAGCAGTCTGAGAGCTAACTAATAAGCCAAAATAAGTCCAAATATTTAAGGTTGCAAGCATGCACAAAATAACAGAGCATTTCAGGAAATCTCCTTCGCTTTTGACCCAACAGGGAAAAAATACAAAGTATAAAAATATTAATATGAAACAAATAAATAGTTTTCAAATTCCCATACAATTAAAAATAACATTAACATAAAAAGAAATACAAATGATGTTTTCAGCAGCTGTAGCAGTTATGACAAAGGGTAAAAATCTACAATATATAAAAATCCACACTTAAAAGACTCCAGTGTTAGACACAAGGACAAAAGATATGGACATTATATGAAATGGATGGACAATATAACTAACATGGCAAAAGGCCCAACACCACCGACGGGACACCGAAAGACAACGCAGAGACACTATTTCATGTATCACCGTTTAGCAACAACTCCGGCACTACTCCAGGCAAGCCCCTGGTGAGGGTGGCAAGTTTGTACCTGGTCACTGGCAGCAGAGTCGACCGTGACTATCCTTGGGCAAGCAATATGTTTAGAGATATTCAAAACCAAAAAAAAAGTCATACCCTTAATCCAATAAAGTCATGACTAAGAACTTGCCTCCAGAAAATAAACCAACAGAGGAAAAGGAATATGCATTAAGTATGAAATCTGAACATCATGGTTTGCAATTATGGAACAATTTGTAAGCATGTGGTTAAAGGCCAAAACGGAATATAAGAGTGTGGAAATGGCTACATGGGGCGGAAGATTCTCTAAAAACATTTCCACTGTTGCGCTCACCATTACCACCTCTGCATTATACATGCAAACTGGCCACTGCTGGGGGGAAAGGGTGGGCGGGCCTACCTCAGAGGTTGCTGGCCCCCAAATGTGATGATCTTTACTGACACTGTAGACCAGGCTTGTCTACTTTGGGATCATTTCAACCTGTAAGAGTCCTTCTTTCTCCCTCTTGCTGTTTATTTATTTATTTTTAATATTTTGTTTATTTGAGAGAGAGAGAGAGAGAGAGAGAAAGCGTGTGCGAGTGCATGGGGGGGGAGGGGCAGAGGGAGAGACTCTCAAGCGGTCTCTCCACTGAGCATGGAGCCTGACAGCGGCTCAATCCCACAATCCTGACATCATGACCCGAGTCGAAACCAGGAGTTGGACACTTAACTGACTGAGCCACCCAGGTGCCCGAACTCTTCATTCATTTTCAATTTTTAAAAAAGGAGCACATGCTCAGCTATAAAATATCTGAACAATTCAGTAGGA